CCTTAGGCTAAGGCCAAGCTTGTCTGGCAGGGGCTGGAGGCTAGGGTACTTTGAGTTGAAGATCAGTCTCTGTCCTGGAGGGACTCCAGAAAGCACATCACCTGTAGAGGATAACCTAGATGGAGACTCAGGTCACAGCGTGCTACTACTGCCAGCCAACACTTCCTTCAGATGATGCAGGGACAGTCAGCTGGGGAAAGGGAGTGAACAAATGGCAGTTTCTGGTCCTGTTAGAGCCACTTCCAATTGTAGTTCCTTTCCTATATGGTGTGGGGCAGTGAGCCCTCCACTCTGTTGAAGTGTGCCTGGCAATATTAATCTTACTTTTTGTACCCTGTGCTGGAAGCACTCTTCCAAGACCTTTGGGTGTCCAGCTTCTTCTAATCCTTTTTTTAAGCTTAAATATTACCTCACCTAGGCCATCCTCTAGTTAAAATAGGTCCCCTACCTTATACTGTATTGATATCCACTTTCTTCGTAGCACTCACTGCAATTTGTAATTATTTAATTTATTAGTTTACTTATTTTTTTCTTTTTCTCCACAGTACTGTAAGCCCCATGAGGACAGGGTTCTTATCTGATTTGTTCACTAATGTATCCTCCAAATCTAGAATGTAGTAGGCATTAAATACATACATAACTATTGAATGAGTAGGAGTTAGGAAAAACAAACAGAACAAAATGGGTTATTTTAAATATTGTTAAGATATGTAATATACAGTGAAGATAAAACTGTCATGAATGAATATTTATGCATAGTGTTAAAATACATAAAACAGATGGTTTTAGAAATTCAAGTAGAAATGGACAAAACCACAATTGTGGTGGGAGATTGTAATACATATCTTTTAGTCCTAGAAAAAAAATAAGGATATTGAGCATTTGAATAATACACTGTAGCTTGATTTAACATCTATAATAAAGTTCATATTCATATAATAAGGTTCGTATCATAAGAAAGTACCCTATAGGCTGGAACTACATACTCAAGTGTATGTGTATGGAAATTGCTCTCATTAAAATGAGAAAGAGAATATTATCATTGATATAAAGGAGATTTAAAAATTATAAGTGAATCTTCCTTTAATTCCATCCTAATAATTATTTTGGATAAGTGGATGATTTCCTAGGAAAATAAAAATCTAAATTGGCTCATGAAGAACTGAAATGTTATTAAGGCATTCTTCCCTCCACAAAATACAGAGTCAGACTATTTATAGATGAGTTTTCAGAAACTTTTAGTGGATCAAATATTTTCTATGCTGTTTAAATAGTTTCAGTGTAGAAAAAAAGATGGGAAGCTTCCCATATTATTTTATGAAGCAAATATAAACCCCATGCCAAATCCTACAGAGATAGCACAAAAGAAAAGGCAAACACACTTAGGAATGTTGAACCACAAATCCTACATAAACCGTTAGCACTTGTGGGCTTTATTTCAGGAATGCAAGAATATTTTAATATTGGGAAATATATTAATATTCAACAATTAATAGTCAGAGGGGAATATGACCGTGGCAGTATTAAAAGCATTTGATAAAATCTCACTTCCATTCTTACATTTTTTTTAATATTTATTTTTGTGAGACAGAGACAGCATGAGTGGGAGAGGGCCAGAGAGAAAGGAAGACACAGAAACAACAGCAGGCTCCAGGCTCTGAGCTGTCAGCACAGACCCTGACGTGGGTTTCGAACTCATGGACCATGAGATCATGACCTGAGCTGAAGTCAGACGCTTGACTCACTAAACCACCCAGGCATCCTCCCCTCCTTTTTTTTTTAATTTTTTTAAAAGTTAAAAATTTTTTCCCACTTCCATTCTTGATTAAAAATGAAACAAAATAACAAGAGAAAATTTGTAGTAAACTAGGACTAGAGGAATGCATCCTTAATTTAATAAAAAATATTTATCCTAAGCCCACAGCCAAAATTACACTTAATGGTAAAACACTAGTGCATTCCTATTAAAGTCAGGATCAACTATAGTATGCCCATTATCATGGCTTTTTTTTCAACCATAGTTTCAGAAGTTCTAGGCAATGCAGTGAGAGAAGAAAAAGAATGAGCTGTTAGTATTGGAAATGAAGGAGGCAAAACCATCTATATTTAGTGATATATGATTATATAGATCTGGAATGAAACTGAAGAATAGTGGAGAGCTAATGAGAGTCAAATAAGGTAGTAAGTTAGAATATACATGAACCAAAATCAGTAGCTTTCTTACATACCAGCAGTAAACCACCTAGAACATGTGATGAAATAGATCATATTCACATAGCAAAATATATATGATATAAGGGAATAAACATAGTAAAAAAGATATGGGACCTATATAAATATAACTATAAACCTTACTCGAGAGGAGAGGTGGATGAGTAGAGAAGACAAACCTATGATTGGGTGAGAAAATTTTGTACAGTTACCACTTCTCTCCAAATAAGTTGACCTGTAACTGAATTCATGCCTAGCACATGAGACACACAATAAATGTTTTTAAATGATTGTTAAATAAGTGATATAATTACAGTAAAAATATTAGATTTTTTTTGACTTGACAAAATGAGAACTTCATCTAAAAAAAATCTTCAGAGTTAAGAATGAAATTTTGATAATGAAGACTAATGAAAGTATTGCCAGGTCAGTTATATGACAATGTAAGATAAATTGTAACAGTGGTATTGGTGCATGATCAGATAGATTTGTGAAACAGAGTAGAAAGTCAAAAATCAGATTTATAACTGTTTAATGACTTAGAGTGTGATGGTGATAACATAATCATAAGTAGGAAAAATGGATTTAATGTAGGAGCACCTGGGTGGCTCAGTCGGTTAAGCATCCGACTTCGGCTCAGGTCATGATCTCACGGTTCGTGGGTTCGAGCCCCATGTCAGACTCTGTGCTGACAGCTCAGAGCCTGGAGCCTGCTTCAGATTCTGTGTTTCCCTCTCTCTCTGACTCTCCCCTGCTCACACTGTCTCTGTCTCTGTCTCTCTCTCTCTCAGAAATAAGTAAAACATTAAAAAAAATTTTTTTAAAAGATGGATTTAATGTATTTTTAGACAACTAACTGTGGGAAAAAGTATCCCTACTTCATAATATACTCCAAAATATATTCCAGGTGGATTAAAGATTTAAATTTCAAAAGTGAAACTGTAAAACTGTTACAAGGAAATATTACAATTTATTTTTTATTTTTTTAAATATTTTTTAAGTTTATTTCTTTATTTTGAGAGAAAGAGACAAAGAAGAGAGAGAGACGTGCATGTGCATGCAAGAGCAGAAAAGGGGCAGAGAGAGAGAGTGAAAGACTCCCAAGCAGGCTCTGTGCTGTCACATCTGACACGGCACTTGCTCAGTCGTACGAACGTGAGATCATGACCTGAGCCAAAATCAAAAGTCAGATGCTTAACTGACTGAGCCACCCAGGCACCTTGGAAATATTAGAATTTAGAATGTCTTTCTAAACATGACCTGAAAGGCAGAAATAGTAAAGGAAAAGATGGATGCATTTGATTACGTACAACATTTAAAACTTTTGAACTTCCCATAACATCATAAAAAATGTAAATGTAGCTGATTATCTTGAAAAATATTTGTAACATATGTGGCAGACTGAAGGTAAATTTTTCTACCATACATAACCAATGTATGGAAGATGTAAGCTCACTGATGACTTAAAGGTGCAAATTAAAACAAAAGAAATACCATTATTTTGGCCATCAAACTGGCAAACAACAACAAAAAGTCTAGGGTGCAAGAATACTGGTACTTGCCTGCACTACTGGTAGAAGTGTACCTTGGGGGCAGGTTTGCTGGAAGGTAGTGTGGCCAAGATCAAGAGCCATTCCTTAACAATTTATCCTAAGGAATTTTTCATAGCTGTTTGCAAATATATAGCTCCAATGACAATCATTGCAGTGTTCTTTCTTTTTTTTTTTCTTGAGGTAAAATTGACATATAACATTATATTAGTTTTAGGTACACAAAATAATGATTAGATATTTTTTATGGATTGCAGAATAACAGTAACTTCTAGTTAACATCTTTCATCAGACATAGTCACAATGTTTTTTTCTTGTGATGAAAACTTTTAAGATCTACTTTCTTAGCAACTTTAAATATGCAATACAGTATTACTACTTGTAGTAATCATGCTGTACGTTATATCCTCAGGAGTTATTTATTTTGTAACTGAAGTTTGTACCTTTAATTCCCTTACCCCATTTCACCTACCCCCACTGCCTGCCTCTGGCAACCACCAATCTCCTCTTTGTTGTCTATGAGTTCTATGCAGTGTTATAATATCAATATCTTGTGAATAACAAATGTCTTTCTATGGGGAAATGGTTAATTCAGTTGTAATAGAGCCATATAATGGAATATTGTGAAATTATTAAAGATAGTGTTGACAAATATTGAATGATATGGACAAATCCATGCTATGTGAACAAAGATATACTTTCCTCTTATATAGGAGGGAATCATGCAAAGAAAACTAAATGCAGTTTGTTTGAAGTATTGAGGAGGAAGGATAAGGAAAGTTTTACATTGTCCAAGGCCTTGGTTTTTTATCCGTAAATAAAGAAGGCAACATATATGCCAAGAGTTTTTGTGATGGGGTTTGATTTAGATACATACTGTTTCCAAGTTGTTAATTGATAGAGCCTCTGAATGTCAGTGCTGTTTGTCAGAGCCGAGTTCCCTATTGTAATTCAGTTTACAGCACAGGAATGGGATGTGTTGGTCCATAGCTTAAGAATGTTAAAATTAATTAATTTTTAATTAAATGTTTCAAAAATTTTACTTAGTATTTCAGTTTCACAGCAGAGTCACATTCTGATTATTAATAGTACCTAAGCTGTTACGAGATTTAAGTATATAGTATCTTAGCTCTTAGACTTTCCATAGTTGATTTAAGCAAAGGATAGTTACTGTTAAAGGGTCATAGAAGGTGATTAATGCTTTATATGTTGGGATTAATAATTTCACTTTTTCTTAAGGATATGTAAATTCTCTGTCTTCACGTGAAAACAATGTATGGAGCAGTGAACATGCTGATGGACAGTCTTTGGAAAAAACTTCTGCACAGGAAGCTCTGTTAAATTTTTTCTTTCCAACAAGTAAGTTCTTTTTTTTTTTTTCCTTCCCAGTATCCTCATTTTGAAAAGAGTAGTTAAATGTTTAGGAGGCAGTGTGTTCTATTGCCATTGGAGTGAGACAGACCTGAGTTTTAATCCTGACTCAACCTTTTGCCTTAGGCAAGGTAATATCTCTGAATCTCAGTGTCCTCAGCTTTAATGAAAATATTTACCACAAAGAATTGTGAGGATGACCTGAGACAGTATTTTTAAGACATTTCATAAATGTGGGTTACTCTTTATAGAAATTCTTTTCCTTCATAAACACCTAAACCTTTCACAATTTACCTTAATGGCATTGCCTGAAATTTAGTCACTGACCCAGTATTGTGAAATTAATGCCTTCTGTAGCATTAATCAGGGTATTGTGTGACTTTCATGTTACAGAATATACTAGATGTTTTCCCATCTGTTTTAATGATAAGTTCAGGTTTCAAGTCACATCATCTTCTTGTGATTCTGTATATAATGTGTTTATCAAACATATGATGACCCTTGAGAATTATTAACCACAAATAAAGATGTTTCATTTTCTACAGCATGTGGTACCTTTTCAAGGAAAAGTTTCAAATAAATTGACGTATGTGAATTACAAAGATGAAGCTTTTATTAAAAATCACGCAGGGGCCCCTGGGTGGCTCAGTTGGTTAAGCAGCCGACTTCGGCTCAGGCCATGATCTCGCAGTTTGTGAGTTTGAGCCCCCGTCGGGCTCTGTGCTGACAGCTTAGAGCCTGGAGCTTGCTTCACATTCTGTGTCTCCTTCTCTCTCTGCCCTTCCCCTGCTCATGCTTTGTTGCTTTGTCTCTCTCTCTCAAAAATAAATAAACTTAAAAAATAAAAATAAGTAAGTAAAAATCATGTAGAATTTATTCTAACAAAATTTGATGTACATATGTAAGCACAAAATTATATCCATTTGTTTAATTTCAGATTCTACCACTGAATTCTTCTGTGATCTTACATAAATATCCTTATATTTCTCTATACTGGTTTCATCAAGTACAAAACAGGCATTATAACACCTACTACTAATGAGAACAGCAAAATAAGTGAGCCCCTTAAATAAATTGAAAAAACCACCATGGTCAAGTTGAGTGAAGAAAGAGAAATTTGAGGGGTGCCTGGCTGGCTCAGTCAGAGCATGTGACTGTTGACCTTGGGGTCATAAGTTTTAGCCCTACATTGGTCATAGAGTTTACTTAAAAAAATAAAAATAATAAAATCTTTTTAAAAAGTAAGAAATTTGAGAGGTGGTATGTTGTGAAGTTAAATGAATGGTTTAGTGAGAGTGCCAAAGTTGGTCATAAACAACAAATGATGATTTAAGCTTTATTTAAAAAAATATTTTATTATTGTTTATTTATTTTTAAGGAATTAAATTTTTTAAGGAAATAAAAAATATTTATTTATTATTATTTACTTATTTTTAAGGAAGAGAGAGCACAAACAGGGGAGGAACAGAGAGAGAGAGGAGACAGAATCCAAAGTAGACTCCAGGTTCTGAGCAGTCAGTGCAGAGCCTGACACAAGGCTCAAACTCACAAACTGTGAGATCAAGAGCTGAGCCAAAGTCAGATGCTTAACCAACTTAGCCACCCAGGTGCCCTGATGATTTAAGCTTTAAAGCTAATGAAGATAATAGACATAAACTGTCCCATAATTACCTCTAGTAACAACATTATACAAACACTGAAGCCACCTTTAAAAATAGTCTGAATAAGAATATCTACATTTCCAAAATATTCCTTCAACCTGGCGCAGTAAGTTGAGTCAAAGTCAGTTGTATGAGATGCCCAACAAAATCAGACTGTTCCATTTTAAGAGAAACATCTGACCCAGGTTGATTCAAATCTTTAAAAAAAAACAGTGATTAAATATTTATAAAATGTATTTGCTGTCTCTTTGAAAAGAATAAGTTCTTAAAATGGGAAGTACTTTTAACCAATTTCTTTCCTCCCCTGTTTAATTGAAAAGGAACGCTCTTCCCACTTAAGCACTAAATAAAAGTCTGCCATTTTGTCATTAGGCTGTTGTTCATAAACGATTTATCTCTTGCACATCACATTAAAGTGATAACCTTGACAGACTGACAGGGAAGCTTGAGGGGTCACATAATCCTTCTCTCTTTGGACAAAATTATAAACTTATACCTGGTAAAAATTTTCTACCCTTTTTATTCTTCAAAATAAACTGTCTCAGTAATTTAAGTCTGAAAGCTAATTTTAGTATCTGGCATGAAGTCCATCAGATGCAACTGTATAATAAAATAACAGAAGCTCAGGGGCACCTGGTTGGCTCAGTTGGTTAAGCACCTGACTTCGGCTCAGGTCATGATCTCACAGTTCATGGGTTCGAGCCCCACAATGGCTCTGTGCTGACAACTCTGATCCTAGAGCCTGCTTCAGATTCTGTGTCTCCTCTCTCTCCGCCCCTCCCCTGCTCACACTGGGTCTCTCTGTCTCTCTCAGAAATAAACATTAAAAAATTTAAAATAATAGAAGCTCAGCATTAGATGAGATCTTAGAGATCAATCCGATCTCTTTTGTGATTTAAAATCTTCTTTTATGATTACCATTCCTGGAAAGTGGCCTTTGAATGATGCCAATAGCAAAGAATTTTGCACTTAGTAAGTCTGTACCATCTCTGACCAGCCCCTGAACATGATATTCCAGATGCACTCCATCCTGGGGAGGGAAGTCAGTGTGGGCTGGGTAGAATTGAGAATAAATTGCCTAGTGTATATAACAACAAAGTAGACCAAAGTCTCATATGTCTAAAATGTTTGAGAAATGAATATCCAGGCCAACTGGTAATGCATTAAATTTGTGGCCTTGTAGAGGTTACTTTGATCCTTCAGTTCTTTATTTCTAGAATGGGGGTTTTAAAAATCATTTTGAGAGTTTGTTATAATGATTAGAAATAATGTGTGCAAAGCAAGGTACCTGGCCCCAAGTAGGTGCCTAGTGAATGGTAGCTATTATTATTTTTACCTTAGTTTCAGGAATTGCCAGTCTTTAAAAAACGAATATAATAAAATATACCAAGAGATAAAAATATGCTTGTAAATATCCTATTGTTCTTTGCTGATTAGTTATAGTGCTTGAGAGTGATCATAAAACATCAGTTATTACTTTTTTAAGTCTGTTGTTGTTGACAGTATTGGAGATTGAACTGAATCTGTGCTGGCCTTAAGCCATATTGTGGAAGTTTCTTTTTGAATAAAAATCCGATATCTGCCCTTTTGGTTGTTGTTTCTCATACAAGCAGGATGTTTAAAAGAATCAGCTATTTGAGCTTACAAATCTTATAGATTCTGATATGTATGAATTTATTGCAGTTGCATGAACCTTGGTGTTCATACCATAAGTTATTGCCTATTCAAAATTATAGAGTCATAACTTAAGGTCAGATGGAAGAATCTTATACCATAGTGCCAATATGGTAAGTGTTCACAGAAAGTAGGTCAATACCAATAGTATTGTTTACCTTACTTACACTCTAGCAGTAAACTGAATTTTGCTTACATTCATTTTCATTGACATATTCAGTGACTTTCTGTAGCTATAAAATTGAGTGAGAAGATATTCATGGTATTATTATGTTAACAAGGTGTTAGTTTTAAGGACATTTGGTATATTCTTGTTATTTAACTCCTTCCGTATTATATTTGTATTACTACTACTAAGCTTATGATCTATAGTCCTTTTCCTTATTAATGACCTGTTAACAATTTATATTTTTCTGCCATTCATCTACAATTGAAAATGTGATGTTAAGTAACTTTGTGGTAATTTTTAGCTTAAGTCTTCTTTTTTCAACATTCATCACCATTTGTACATGTCATTCAGTCTTTGAATGTACCAGTTTGAGGGGCGACAGGTGGCTCAGTTAGTTAGGTGTCCAACTTTGGCTCAGGTCATGATCTCGCTGCTCAGGAGTTCAAGCTCTGCGTCAGGCTCTGTGCTGACAGCTCAGAGACTGCAGCCCACTTCGGATTCTGTGTCTCCCTCTATCCCTGCCCCTACCCTGCTCATGCTCTGTCTCTGTCTCTCTCTCAAAAATAAATAATATAACATTAAAAAACATGTAAATGTACCAATTTGAATGTTTTTCTTTTATTGTCTTGCAGTAATTACTTAATTAGGGAAAGTGCTTATTAACCATACTGAATTATTTTTCTTGGATTTTGTTTCTAAAAGCATGCATTCCAAAGCAGAATCAGGTGGTGAAGGCTTGCAATGAGCAGGAAGATTATAACAAGACTGAATGTTTGGGATATAAATGCTGTTTTTCATCCTTCAAGATCAATAACGTCAGCTGTTTTGTCCCACTAAAGGATAGTAAGTTCATCCTCTTACATTCATTATATTTATGTTTTGAAAAATTGAATAAGTAGGTTACAATGGCATAAATTTAAATTTGGATCTCTCAGTTTAACACCTAAAGGAAGATTCCAGCCCTGGAGCAACACTGTCTGTAAAAGTTCAGAGGTGGGCAGGTCTCTGTTCATGAATAGTTTCTGCTTAGCCTTTGATATGACTTTGGCAGTTCAAAATTAGTCTTATCTTTCTTTTGCTTTAGTCAATCTCTGTCTTGTTGCAGAGATTCCAGGGTCTGTGAGATCTAAAACCTTTAGTGCTTGGGAGAAGATACCAATCAGACATGCCTTAGCTTATTTTTCTCTTCTCACCTTTTCTTCCTACTCCAGTAGAATTCTTCCCATTTATCATGTCTTCAAATCTCAGTATGTAACAATAGCCTTGCATGTTCCTTGTTAAGGTTTGTTTATTAGTTTCTCTTTGTTCTATTGTTTTTGAATCAGGTTCTTAAGATTTTTTTTTCTTTACAAAGTTTTGAGAACTAGACCATCTGTTTTTCCTCCTGCATTTGGATTAAGGGGATATATTACCAGTTGGTCCCATGATGGACATATTAGACATGATTAAACACTAACAAATACTATAAAAAGGATGCATGTAAAACAAGTGTCTTAGGTTAATATAGTCCCTATTCAATTTATAGGTCTTTGTTGAACATCTAGTATTAATAATGGAAACTGAAACCTGATCATGAATATAGTATTACAGTTTCAACACTTTCAAACAGTGTTTATAATTCATTCATCAGTTTAGTCTTTATGTTATGTGTAAAGAGACATTCAGCCTTTGTGGAGGGAAAAATTGAACCGTGACTTATAATTTCCCAGTCATATTAGAATGCATTTCCAAATGAATATAAGAATAAAATATGCTTATTTACCTGCAAATTCTTGATTTCTTATTTAATTTAATGTTTTATAATTTGGAAGTAAACATTTAAGAAGCCATTCCTTTAACAAGTTTACTATTCATAGACTAATTCCCTTCTTGAGTGCTCTAGGATGTATAACATATGGTCAAGGAAAAAACACACTTAGGCCATGGGAAGAAATATATAGTATGAGTCATAATAGCCTGTTTAACAAAACCATTAGGTTCATTTTGTTAAGGCTTCCTTAAGGAGGCATGTATTTCAAGTGTACCTTTTAGTTGTGTTTTAAGATTTCATAAACTTCTGCTATTGATAGAGAACCAAAGATATTTACCTGTCATATAAGAATACCTCCTTATTTTACTTTATTCACTGATAGTTTTTTATAAAGACTTTATGAAAGAGCTCAGATTTGCTTCTCTTGCTTAAGTCATAAAAGTAACAGGATATAATTAAACCAACAGAGCCTACACAGATGTTCCGGATGTTTGGGCTTGGTGTGATCGGCATGATCATCCTGGGATGTCTGCCCATTTATTGCTGCTCTCTTTGGCAGAGGAGGTAGGCAACCATAAACTTTTATTTGCTGATTGCTGCATGTATTTGGATATTTCTGTGTAGACACATTTATTCATATGCACTAGAAACACAGGGGTTATGTTTGTGTCCCTTTTGTTTAAAAGAAGCTGGCCTAGGAAAAACCTAAAATAAAGTTAACATATTTTAAAAATTTTTAAATGTTTATTATTTTGACGAAGGAGAGGGGAGGCAGAGAGAGAGAGAGACAGAGAAAGAGAGAGAGAGAGAGAGAGAGAGAGAGAAGAAGCCACAGAATCCGAAGCAGGCTCCAGGCTCTGAGCTGTCAGCACAGAGCCTGACGCGGGGCTCGAACTCACAAACTGTGAGATCATGACCTGAGCTGAATGAAGTTGGATGTTTAACCGACTGAGCCACTCAGGTGCCACAAGTTACCACAATATTTTAAAATTGATGTTACTTTATTTTTCCATAAATTTGGACATCTTCTTGCATAGTCTGTACATTCTCTCATCAGACATTTGGGAGGAAAAATACATTAGTGAGCTGGGAGCATGTGAGTGGAAGTGGTTATTAACTGCAAATCAGAAGGGTTTCCAGAAGTGTTATCTCCATCTAGTAAATGGTCATCTACCGTTGGGTCTTAAAAGCCTTGGTCTCTCTTCAAGCCAATTTGTATCATGTTTCTGCTTAGCATCCCTGTGGATTTTATCCTTGTGGCCTATTGGCATACTTCTAAGGTTTTTTTGTTTTGTTTTGTTTTTTTTAAATAGCTCACCACCTACTGGAACAGTAGGGGTGGAGATAGAGAGCAGGGCCAGGACCAGGGTGGGGTGAGTGAGGCGACTGGAGCACAACATTTAAGGAGACACACACTCTCAGCTTTGTGCAAGTGCAGGGTTGGCACTAGCATGACCCTGAGTGTAAGTATTTCCTTCAGTTCTCTGGTAAAGAAAAGGTACCAGTTGAAAATTAAGCATCTTTGGTGTTTTTATTTGAATAAGAAAGTGGTATTTGAGTTACCAAAACATTGTTTAGATTTCGCTGAAAGATTGAGACTATACACAAGTTACCTCATTTTCCATAAAGATCATTAAGTCTTTTTTTTTTTCTTTTTTGTGCCTTTTCCTTGAGTTTGATGAGTGTGTCATATTCATCACTGTATTTTCAGTCCATAGCATGATGTCTCATATATTAAGGTGCTTAATACATTTTTGTTGAATACATTAATGGTTGAGCAAATACAGAAATATAGCAGATGGCATTGGCTAGCCAGGATGGTAGTCCTATAGTAATTTAAACTTTCTCATCACTCACATCATTTTCTCAGACTATTTTGAAGATAGGGTGGAGTCGTAGCCTTTCAGCTCCTCCCATTTGCTATATGACAGTTCATCTCTCAGTTTTCACTTAGTTTTCTATACCGAGTGTGTAATCCCTATTCCTAGGCCTCTCCTATTTTCTTTCTTTCCACAGGTGATTGAGAATAGGAGTAGAATTTTTTGCCCTTCCCCCTTCAGGGTTTGATTTCAGATAAAAGATAACCCACAAACAAAAATGAAATCATATTTGCTAGCAAATGGCGGCTAGGATTATGCCATGCAGTCTGGATGTCTGGTATAATAGGCCTAGTGTAATACTTTCATTATGGCTCCTCTACTGTGTCTTTGCCAAAGACTTTTAGGGGGATGTTCAGGTACACTGGATTTTTCTTTTTTTTTTTTATGTTTTATTTATTTCTGAGAGAGAGAGAGAAAGAGAGAGAGCGAGCATGAGCCAGGGGAGGGTCAGAGAGAGAGGGAGACACAGACTCTGAAACAGGCTCCAGGCTCTGAGCTAGCCGTCAGCACAGAGCCTGACGCGGGGCTCGAACCCGTGAACCATTAGATCATGACCTGAGCCGAAGTCAGGCGCTTAACCGATTGAACCATCCAGGCGCCCCTGGATTTTTCTTTAAAATTAATTTCAAGGAATTATTCTCTGATAAGAATATATTTTCTTCTTTCTATATAGTAAAAACTGCTTGAGAGACTTGAAAAATGTGAATAGTATATTTATTGAACGTTAAAAATTTGGTTTTCTATGATTTATTTATTTATTTAAAAATTTATTTGTTTCTTCAGACATCCTGGGTTGCTTTTTGCACCCCCAGAGTATCTGCTTAGTGCTTGGTGCTTAGCTTAATTTCCAGTAACAGTGGATGTGTGAGGGTGGATGGGGCACTGTCAGGCTTCTCCTGGTAAGCTGATTTTAGAGGCAAAGAGAATAATTGTGTTCAAATAAAGATTCTCTCCTTGATACCAAACAAGGAGCTTAAATGGAAGCCAAAGCCTGCTAACCATTCCTTTCTTTTTGGGGTCAAGATATCTCTTTAGAACTATCCCCTTAGTTCACTTTCTGTTCTTCATTTCAGAGAATGAAGAGATAGATAAAATATTACAGTAGGTAGAATAAGTGACCCATAAAATGGAAATAGATGCAGCAGTAAAATCAGTGTGTTGTGGTTTAAAAAAGAAAAGGAAGTAGCCAAAAACAGTTGTTTGTCTAAATCAACTAACTAGGGGCTAAAAGCCAAAAGCAGATCTGCAGTAACATGATCTGGGCCTATTTGTTGGAAGAACTCTTGTGACATTGGAAGATACTATTAAGCTCCTCCTCCTGCTGGATCCTGACCTATACATTAAATATACATTCCTTCAGATGTTGTAGCTATCCCCTCTCGGCCTTTAGTTATAAGCCAAAACTAGTGAAGTTTTGACATTCCATAGCTCCTACAATTTGGACAGCGTGTTTCATTTATGATTGCCTCAGGAGCTAACAACTGGCAAGAGTTAGAGGGATGAAACATGAGAAGTAATATGAGCAGGTGGGAGAAATGAAAGCAGTTATGGGGAAAAGGATAATCACTTTCCAGAGCCAAATGTATTTTATTCTTTTGGTGCCTACTTCATGCTTTCTACAGTTGACCATATTTAGTTACTCTCTTTGCTAGGTAAGACATAGGCCCTATTTTCAAGGAGCTGAAACCGACTTTAAAATAAGCCCCAAGCATGACATGTTAAGTAATAATACATGATGGAATATAATTAAGGACTAAAAGGGTGGTGGCAGTAACTTACCAAAGTTTTGAGGCAGCGAGGATCAGGATGAATGGGAGAGGGCAGAGTGGGCTCTGTGGTGGAGGTGCTATTTGATCTGAGTTTTGAAGGGAGGACAAGATTTAGAGGGGGGCTCCCACAGAATTCATTATATCCAGATGAAGTCCCCTCAGTATAGACCCCTTATCCACTTGTCATTTCTAAGCAGAAGTGGCCGAACTTTGCCTCTGGAATAATCTGTAATGTAATCTCTAGTTTACTTCTACTTGACTCGAGTTCAGGTGTGGTATGAACCAGGTACACAGAGAACGCAAACCAGCTTGAATTGGTTGCACATATACAAAAGAGAGCAGAGAGCATTAGTGAAAGGCTTTCTAAGAATTTGCTACTAATAGCCTTTTAAACTTGCATATAAGATACATTTTGAAATTCATTACATCTTCAAGGTTATGTAAGATCTATTTTTATTCTCATTAATAAGGATCAGAAACCTCATTAGGCTTAAGTGTCACTAGCAGGCTTAAGACTTACACAGAGATGAAGGAAGGAGAAGATCAGGTGGATGAGGACAAAAGGAAGCAGGGGAGGAGGGCGCTACTGGGAGAGAAGAGAAGAATGGTGGCTGAATTGTTCCCGTTACAGTAATAGAGTGCCAATAATAGTAATCTCAAGTGCCAAATTTAGTTTTTAATCTTTATCTGTTTTTAGATAAAGTTTAATCTTCATGCATAGGCCAGTTAAACATCTGTGTATTATATAGTGATATGATACTTAAGTATGCACATAGCTTTGGTAAGGTGGAAAATTCAAACATTATAATACCATGCCTATTAAACTCAGATGGAGTGCATTTTCTTGTGTTTTTTTTTTCCTTCCTCAGATTGAATTTGCAACTTTGAATTAAGAAAAAATCCAGAACTCAGTCTGAAAATGACAAAACTATGTTTTCTTTCAACTAATAAAAAGCCATGTTTTTTTTTTAAGATTGTAGATCATCTGATACACAGATGATGTAAATAGCACATCCCCCATACACTTTCAATGTTGCTACTTGCCAGATGGCTGTTACTGAAAATTTCTACATTTAGACAAATCCTGCTGCGTGATTCTCTGTATTATAATGTGGTTCTCATTATGCAGATAGTCTTAATACCACTTACTTTCTTAGAATGGGAGGTAAAGAATTGGGAATAAATGTGTCAAAAATTGCCTAAAAATCATCACCCATTGAATTTTAAAAATAGGCATTTACATTTTCAAATCTCCATGTTTGTGTGTTTCATTATACTGTACAATATAATTAGTAATGTTATTTTGAAAAGCTTAATGCAGTAATTAGCCAACTGCTGAAAGGTTTGAAGTACCTAGGATTATATACGTGTAAACTCAGAGAAAGAAAATAAAGTCTGTAAATTTTAAAAGTATGGCTAGTCTCTAAGAACTTTGATAAAATATGATCAGATGAGAATGTGAGCAAACTGGAACCCTGCTCTAACATGAGTCACTATAGATTTGAAACTCACATAAAGCCAGTTCTTTTTGGACCCTGTTCAAGGTAATTTAGTTACTGAAATAATAAGAGAATCTCATTATATGCAGATTATATGTCTGAAATGTTCCCATTGCAAGAACTCTGAGGGCAGCATTTGAGAGAAGTCGGGAGTAGTAGGTACTATTAAAAAGAACATTTTGTTGCCAAGTAACTAATAGCCTCAGTGCAAAATGCAGTGGCCTTTTCTCAGTTCCCATCCAACTTGACCTTTGGTCAATAGAACTCTGTTGAGGGCTCCCTTCTTGGAACTTTCTTTCCTTGGATTTCATTGTTTCCTTTGCCATTCTGATCCATCTCAGTTTGCTTTTCTTTGTTCTCCCAACTGTGGTTGTTTCCCAAAGTCTTATTCTCATCTACCAGAGAATATTACAGGT